GGCCAGGCCCGCCGAGCTCCCCCTCCCCCACGGGCGCCCCCGGCCCGGGGCGCTCCCCTGCCCGCCCTGCAGAGCTCCCGCACTCAGCACCTCCTCTCCCCAGCCTTCTGGGCCGCTTCTTCACGTGGCATTTCCTTTTCTCTTTTCTTTTCTGGTGGAAATCGTGTCTTCTCTCCCTGGACCCCGGGTCTAGCCCCGCTCACAGATTGGCCCTCCTCCACAGCCACCTTGCGCGTCTTTCCTGCATCCTGCTTCCTGCTTCCTGCAGTCCCAGGCCTCAGGCTGCCTCGCAGGGTGGGTTTGATCTTTTCCGCCCCTCCCCCAGCCTCCCGGCCCCTTCCGGGTGATCTGAGGCCTGCCTGTCTGCAAGCCCGGCCTCCACGTGGGACTCGGCCCCCTGGCCGTGCCACGCTGCTCACAGTCAGATGTCAGGAACGGTCCTGCCCGTGTGCTTTACAGCCGAGGTTGCTTGGAAGGGAGGGAAAGCATGAAGGTTTCTTTTTAAGTCTCTTCTGGTAAGCGGAGTACGGCTCGCATTCCAGATTCCTCCCTTCGTTGCCGGTCGGTGGTTTCCGTGGGGAGCGGGCCTCCGAGTTCCAAGGTCAAAAGTTGCAGGCCGGCGGGGCCGGGCGGGCCTTGTGCCCGTGCGTTCCAGAGCCAGGCACTGCAGGAGCGAGGAAGGGGAAGGAGTCCACAGAGTCCTCAGGGCCTGGGCGTGACCTCCGCCCGCCACTCACTAGCAGGCACCTTGCCAGCCCTTGGCCCCTTGGGGCCTGGCTTGCCGGGAGCTCCCAGCCGACTGTGAGACCTTGACGTGGGGCCCACTCCAGTGCTGGTGCCGGTGCCGGTGCCGGTCCTCCCTCGGGGGCCGCTGGTGCAGCCTCTGCAGAATTTGAGAAATGCCGAAGTCGCTCACAGTTCACTGTTCCCTTTCCGCCCTCTGTGGGACCAAGTCCCACCCCGCTCAGGGACGCTGAGCTAAGCTGGTCTAGGGAAGGGAGCAGTGTCCTCGAGGGGTCCTTAGACAGGTGATTCTAAGGCCATCTCCCAGATTTATTTGCACTTGTATCTAGAATGTACCTTGTAGCTCATATGATTCTGAAATTGGTAGAACCTATTACTAAAATAAAAAATGAAACCCTCTAGGAGGAGGGCTTAGGGCTGGGGGCACATGGGCAGACCAGCCGCGCCCGGGGTCACCCCTGAGCTGTCCCCGCTTCTCTGCGTGTCCCCTGCGTGCCTGGGCTGCCCGGGGTGGGCGGGGGAAGGAGGAGCTTGGAGCGGCCTGCGGGCTGGTGGCCGTGTCGGCTGCTGCTCTCGTAGAGCTTTAAGACGGCGGGTCCGTAAAGGCTGCAAGCCAGGTCCTTTTCTAGAATCAACTTATTCCGTAACGTTCGAGGACAGGCACGTCGCAGAGACACTGCCAGCTTCCCTTCCCGTCACTCTTCCTGTCACCCTTCCCGTGCCCCGGGTGGCTTTGTCGCGGCTGGGAGCCGGCACGGTCTTGCTGGTGCCCGAGGCCCCCGTTGTGTTGGGAGGTGCACTGATGGCCGCCTCCTGTCCAGGCTCGCGGGCGCCACTGCGTGCGGACGCCCTGTGTCCCCGTGTCCTGTCTCCTGGGTCGCTGCAGGTCCTCACTCAGTCTCTCCGTGTTGTCGTGGCCTTGGCAGTGTGGGGAGCCCTGGACAGCCGTGTCGAAGACCTTCCCTCGCTTTGCCTTTGTAGACGTTTTTCTGCTAGTTAGAGTGGGCTGGGGCTGGGGAGGCGGGAGGTGCGGAGCCACCGGCCACGTTGGGCTGGTGACACGAGCGTGGCCTCCCCTTTCTGCAGCCGTGAAGAAGCCTGCCCCGGCACCCCCGAAGCCAGGACACCCGCCACCCGGCCACCCTGGGGGCCAGAGTTCGCCAGGAGCAGCACAGCATGCCGCCGG